TTCGCGATATGCTTGCTGAGCCGTTTGCTCACCACAGGTGGATCAGCTGTTGGCAGCTTACAGTGCAAACATAAAAACACTGACCAGACTGGAGGAGTCGGGACACCAGAGGGAGGAGGAGGGCCCCTTCAGCGATAAGGATGGAGATATTCACGAAGGAGTCGTAACAGGGAGGGTTTAAGATGGGCATAAATGCTGTGTCCTCTCATCAGCTCAAAGGAAAACCTCGAAATCAGACACATTCCACATGGATGGCATCGTTCATCTAGGCTGCATGGAGATTTTCCTTCACATCTAACATTAGGGTCCTTCTGATGACACCATGTTGGGTTCTGCTTTAAAATGAGTCACAGCCTCTTTTATGGCAGCTGCTGCTACAGCAGAAATGGTCTGAAACATATGATGTGATTAGGGTCATTTCCTGTTTAGAGTGAACATTCCTGCAATCCAAAGCGGGGGGGGTGGGGGGTTGGGGGGAGCTATAAAAGACATGGAGATGCTTCAGTGGCCCAAAGTGACTCACTCATGTTTAACTTTGTGGCTTTAATCAGCCTGAGAAGTCCCATGGAAGTCATCCAGTCGTCTTTTTGCAGCTGGTTTGAAATCACCTGCTGCTCATTTCCACGAGATTTTCTCCCTCCAGGCTGCCAGACGTTTCAGAAGTCTTTTAAAGTGGTGCTGATCAATGGATGTCCAGGCCTCCTGAAGAGGTTTTTAAGTTTTTTTTTCATTGGATAGCTTGTTGACATCATCTTTTAATGTTTGACAGATGTACTGGAGGACACTTTAGACTTTCCCCTAAGTTTATTTCAGGGATTCATAGTGGCGCTGTTTTTTCTTACCATGCCAACATTCAGTTTTAAAACGAATAACTAAATCAAATTTTTTACCAGGTCAATATAGTTTTCTAAAACTGATAAAAAAAAAACAACTATCGTTTAAAATCACTAAAGCAATAGTTTTAGTTCGTAAAAGTAGGTTGTACAAAAATAAATCCCTCTACAAAACCTAATTAAGTTGAGTTAATTAGAGAAGAAAATGTTAAAACTAAATAAAATAAATTAGACTGAAAAATCCAAAACTGTTATAACCCTGGTGGTTTAAAAGCTCAAACCACTCAAATTTCAATTACAGCTCAAATTTCTTGCCCTATTTTTGCTCCTATTGTCTCTGCTTTCATCTGTTAAACTTAAGATCGTCTCATTAACCTGTAAGTACAGTTAAAAACCCAAATGTGTAGACACAAAATTTTAAGAAAGTGAAGCTTATATTCTACAGATCCATTAACACAGATTAAAACATTTCAAATTTGCATTTATTGTAATTTTAATGAATATAGCAGACAACTGAAGAAAACTTTTAACTTCTTGAAAAAAAACCTCTAGCATTTTCATAGAAAATTGAGTAAAAGGGAAAAAAAAGATGAAAAAAGATCACATTGAGGGGACTGAGGCTGAAGTCACAGCATCAAGAGCAACATTGGTCCTTCTCAGGAGAAAATTAATTGCTATGAATTGCTCAGTAATCCACCTTTTCCTTGTAGAGTAAAAAGAGGTTTGTATTTTATTTTGAAATCATGGTCTAACAGGCTGGAGGAGAGCTGAAGGAGTCACGTTGCTTCGTCCAATATGACGTTTCCTCAGCAGATGATTATTTAGGAAGCTATGTCGTCTGTTTCTACTGGTCCTCTGGGTTTCCTGAAGTCCAGCAGACTGGACTGACCAGAACCCTGCAAACCAGAACCCTGGAATGAGAAACCCGAAGCATTAATGTAGAATTTCTGAAAGAAAGCTGGGATGCATTTACAGCTCAGCAGAACCACAGGCAGCTCACCTCCATGCAACGCTGCATAGATGCATTAATTAATCCAAAATAAGCTCCAATCACATGGAGGGTATTAAAAGGAACATACTTTTCTTGGTCAAGACATTTCAATTGATGTTATATAATAACTCTCTGAGGAAATTTATTTTGTTTTCATTCTCTATTAATCCTAATCATGAAAATGACAAGAAATGAAAACTTGAATGTTTTACTCTACGTAAAAAAAGGAAAAAAAAAAATATATATATATATGCATGATATTTGTTTCTGAATTAACTGGAAATTGTTTAACTTTATTCATATATTTGTAGCCCAGCCTGCATTGCTGTTAGATCTAAAGCCATCAGATTTACCCAAAATGGTTTTTGCCAAATTATTTTGCTCAACTGTGTTAAATTTATTAAAGATATAACATTGATTTTAAATTTCAAATCTTAAAACAGGTCTGCCCAGTGGGGCAGTGGTTAGCAATCAAACCCGGGGGCCATGGTTGGATTCCTGGCCCGGGGTCTTTCTGCCTGGAGTTTGCATGTTCTCCCTGTGCATGCATGGGTTCTCTCCTGGTACTCCCGCTTCCTCCCTCAGTCCCAAAAATTGTGAGAGGTTGTGTGCATGGTTGTGTGCCTTTGTGTGTCTCTGTGTTGCCCTGCGGCAGACTGGCGACCTGTACAGGGTGTACCCCACCTCTGACCTGTAGGCCACCGGCCATACCGGGGCCCTGACAAGGACTAAGTGGGACAAAATGGACTGATGGAAATACTGAAACACTGATGCTGTAGAAGCCTTAAAGATGAAAACTCCAGCAACACTTGAAGTACCTGGAAACAAACCTCAGTGGTATATCAACAGGTTTCAGACTGTGGCTTCCTTCATGCTCATTAGAAATCACCACACAAATTTTATTTAAATTAAAAGTACCTTACAAAAAAAATCTGATAAAGAAATCACATGTTCACCTGTGCACCCGCTGGTCAATCAGCACATAGGGGGATGCTAAGTGTTGATTGGTTTGGTCCTGACTGAAAAAAACAGTTGTTTTAAAGGGAGGACAAAATATGCCACGCTAGAAACACTTTGTTCTAGTTAAAAACAAGAAAATAGATAAAATAAACCCTAATGATGAGATTAATACTTTACTTCTAGCTTTGCAGTTTTAGAATAGAAAGAAAAGGCAAAAATAAACTGGAGGACAATAAGAGGATCATCCTGGGTTTAACTGGGATTCCTGACTGTGTCCAAACTAAACTCCATCATTACCTGCTGAACACCTCTCTGTCAGGTTGCCAGCAGATTTACAAACATAGATGCAAAGATACCCTGAGAGGCCCACGACTTTATCCTGTTTGTTGGTCAGACGAGGAATGTGCCGCAGTAACAAAAAGCAGACGTGTCCTTATCCCAAGCCTTGTGTTCATCCGATGACATAATTAGTCTCGGATAAGGAGAGCAGCCAGGATGAAAGATGCTTCTAGTGGCCGACACTTGTGATAACAGTAGGGCCTCATCTCCTAGAGCTAAAACGCAGAGTGGTAATAAAACCGGGATTGAAGGTCTGCAGGAGTCAGAAGCTCCCTGCAATCATCAAACTGTCGTTTAGCAGATAAAACCACTAACTGGTGGAAATTAAGTTTGCAAGTAATTTTTTTGTCTTTCCCCCAATGAGCAGCATTTGAGGAATGAAGGTTAAAGTGAAGGCAGGCGTGCACAGGAAGGAAACATCAACACGGACATCCTGCCTGCATTCATCCTCATCAGGCTTTTTCTGTAATCCCTTCATTTCAATCTTCTGTTAACCGCCATTATCATTACGCTCTTCCTGTTTATCAGCGCGCTGCAGTTCTTGCTCTGAGCTCGTTGAATGAGCCAAACTGCAAAGGATGAAAGTCAGTTCAGACATCAGGAGGTCCTCTGATTCATACCTTATTTTAATTTAAAGAGCTTCTCTTACATTGCAGGTCGATTTCTGTTATCGTATGCTCTTCCAAGACACACCTTGGAGTTTAAAGCAGTTTGTGGCCGTAAAATAAAATAAGCATAAAGTACTCTGACTGTGAACATGACTTGTTAATAAATTAGGGAAATGTTTGAGAAATGAGACCTGCTGTAGTAGCATTTCCCATCCTGCCGTGTATGTTTCCTGACCGTTAAAAAATAGGCAGTTTGAAATGTTTTGCCAATGACGTCCTTTCGCATCTATGAAGTATGTAATGCTTTGTAATCTGCAGGCTTTTATTTGGAGAAAGGGTTCTAAGTAGATCTACAGAACCTTGACCAGTTGCATAATGTCTCAGACTTGTTTGATTTCATAGTTATTTATGTGGAAAAGAAAGTTCAATGCAGTTTAAACGTTTAATAAACTCCACCAAGTGGTCAACTAATGCATTTATTAGCTTATAGGTAAGGCTACCGTGTGTTGGAGCCACTTCAAGCATTCGGCATGTGGAGCTGAGTGGATATTCATCTTTGCAGATAGAAATTCTGTATAAAATCAAGAAATGCTAATGAATGAATTGGATTTTGGCAGTTTTTATTTTTCAAAGAACCTGTTGAAGCCTGAATTAGTCAGATGTGAAGCTGTTCAGTTTAGTGTCGGATGTTAAGGAAGAAGATGTTTCCCTGTGATTCTGAACTGCTAGGCTGATCAGGGACAGTGTGACTGAGTTTAAAGATCTGAAGAACACGAGGGTCTACAACACATCTGGTGTAACTTTTTTTTATTTGATTGTTCGTGTTGCTTAGAGATTATTATCCATGTAACATATATCCTACATTAGAGGCTTGTTGTGTTCTTATACACCCTCTCGAAGGCTGAGGTCTCCGGACCAGAACCTGCTCATGGTCCCTCGTACTCGTTACAGGACCAGGGGAGATTGCTGCTTTCAGGTGGTCGCGCCGGCGCTCTGGAACCATCTTCCTCCTTCATTGGGCTTTCTTGATTCTGTTGATGTTTTTAAGAGTGAACTGAAAACCTATTTGTTTAAGAAAGCACTTTAATTCCAGTAGATTGAGGGTTTTATGACCATGTCTTTTGTGACTGTAAATGTATTTTATATTTGTAATGTAATTTTATGAAGCACTTTATGACCTCTATGTCTGTGAAAGTTGCTATATAAATAAACATTACTTACATACATCTGACCAAAAGCATAACTGATTACGTTTCTGCTTGTTTGCAGGTGTCTTCCTCTTGTGTTCCAGCGACAAACTATGAGCTGGTAAGTAGATTTCAAATGCCTGAACTTATAACAAAATTTCTCACTTTGCAGTTATATTAAGAAACATTTTAAAAAAGCTTAGTTTAACCTGAATTATTCAGTTTTTCTGTTAATAAAAAAGTGAATCATCATATAAAGGCGTCATCTGACGTGAGTCTGAGCTGAAGTAAGTGGAACATGACTGCAGCGAGAAGAAGCTGAAGGGCAGAGGAAAAAAAGGCTCTGGCTGCTTTGCCTTTTTTGGTATCGGTTGAAGAAGCTGTGTTGGGCTTGGATGAGATTTGCTCACTCGCTTCCTCACATGTTGTGTGTTTAAATGGTTTTGGGTGCTTGACAAACCAAAGCAAATATCCCCTGCACTTTACTGCTCTTGCAGAGAAAATGTCTGGGTTTTCTTTCAATAAAAGCTGCCATAATTAATCAGAAACATGTTGTTATCCTCACAGATGCTTTTGCACTAGATGTTTTCTGCATGAAGACATCTTTCTGAGATGTGCACAGGCTTTAAGACTATTGTGAGGAGGGATTTAGAAAACATTCACTCAAATCACCATTGTTTCCTGTCTCTCATGACGTATTTGTGTTTGTATTAAAGGTTCTGATCGTCATTAATGCTGATGAGCTAAAGTTTAGTAAATGTTTGGAAATTTGTGCATCATGTTTTTCGTGACCTTTCTGCTTAATTGGAATCAGGAAGCATGAATCGTATCTCCAACACCCAGTGGACAACAGGGTAGGGATAATCTGGACAGATTACCAATCCATTATCTTAACGCAAAGGACTGATAGCTATGTACAAACACGTTCACACCTAAGTGCAATTTAGGGACATTGACCTAAAAGTTGTATTTTCGGACTATGTGGTTGAGCTGAAATACTCAGAGAAAAACAACAGTGGGAATGAAGTAGTTAAATTCCCTTATTCTAGCTGTGTTTGCCCAATTCTTAAAAAGACAGTTTTAGCCGATAAGCACATCTAGGGTAATTCCTTTCTTTTATTTTTCTTTTTAGAAAATTACCACGAACTATTATGATTAAATAATTTAATGGTGGGCTGGACAGTGGTGAAGTGGGTAGCACTACTGACTTGCAGCAAGAAGGTTCTGGGTTCAATTCCCTGCCCAGGGTCTTTCTGCATAGAGTTTGCATGTTCTCCCTGAGCATGCGTGGGTTCTCTCCAGGTACTCCAGCTTCCTCCCAGCCAAAAAACCTGACTGTTAGGTTAATTGGCTTCTCTAAATTCTCCGTAGGTGTGAGTGTGAATAGTTTGTCCTGTTTGTCTCTGTGTTGCCCTGCGATAGACTGGCGACCTGTCAGGGTGTACCCTGCTTCTCGCCCATAAACAGCTGGAGATAGGCACCATCACCCCTCGTGATAAGCAGGGATAAGCGTGACTAAAATAGATGGATCATTTAATGGTATCAAATCATATATCGGTAGATGCACCACTGCTTCATCTTTTCGTACTGATTGTTGCTATGTTTGAGCGGGTCATGCAGAACCTGAAAGGTCAGACTGAAACAGGATGACTTGGATGGCAAGTACTGCTGGGAAAAAAATCTGTTTTGTTTGTAAGGGATGTGTAATGTCGGTGACTAAATCATTCATAGTATACTGTATATACAGAACCTGTCACTTTCAAGCATTAGGCGGAAACTGGTTGATCTGTGCACACTTCCCAGCCTTCCCTGCAGCGGGGGCAGAACTCCAAACCTCCACTCCTTGTTTGGCAAATTCCTCCTCTTGCTGCCAGAGACCAGAGATGATTTAGTGTTGCATTCAGGTGCAGACTGATTTCACCAACCGTATATTACCTTACTGAAGGAAAAATGTTGGCAAGGAATAGGAGCCCTTTTTACTTAAAAATGCACAAAATTCCAGGGAGACGAATGAGCCACATCTGGACAGAACAACAACTTTGATATCAGAAGATAAGGATTCATCTAAATGGAAAAGAAAATTATAAACATTTACGTTTTTTTTTCTTATACTGGCCTTAAAGGTTATCTTCAATTTTTTTTCCCCAGGTCAACATGATCCCAAGAGTATTTATAGCAGGAATGCTGGGAATCTTTATCATCCTCTTCAGCTTTTGAATCAGTTTGGCAAGTGGTCAAAAAATTGGACGTTCAGGATTGCACCAGAAAGCCACACAGTAAACAGTTATAGGGATCTAGATGGTTAAAATGTAATCTCCCAAAGAAATGAAAAGGCTTTATTGTCTGGATTCTTCTGTCACGTCTTCTTGGATTAAAACATAACCTGGGAAAATCCAGTAGTCATTTCTCTAACATCTTTAAACTCATCACTCATGGTGAGGTGGTTTGCTGTTGGTGCACTGAGTAGACTTGGATTAAAGCTTTAAAATGATAGATTTTAACTTATAAACACTTCTCTTGAAAGTGCTAAAAGACAAAAATATAGAATTTATTCAGCATCAGACTTATAAAGCATAAGAAACAAGTTTTTAAAAGATAATTAATGTTATATATTTTTATTTTTTTGGAGAGGAAGGTCCATTCCCCAATGAGCTGAGGAGAAGTCTTGTGTAGTTTCTGTTACCCAGTAGATTCTGGGTATGTTTTTAAATTAAACAGGGTGTCGTCAGCATATTGTTGGAAGTAAATTGATTCCTAACCAATAACAGAGCCTGGAAGAAGCATTTTTAGATTAAAACGATGTTGCCCAAGAACAGATCCTTGTGTGACACCCAATGTTACATGGGTTGTTAAGGAGTAGATCTGCTGTTTCCTCTGATTGGGCGATGAGCTGCAGAAAATATATATGGTGTAATGTTTGTAATTTACAGTAACAATTTATATGTCCAATTATTATGGTGTGATGAGTTGTAAATGGGTAGGTTTTGTTTTAGGGTGTGAGTTTCCGTGTGAGTGAATGTCCGTAACACAAATTGAAATTATTATTATCTACTTTTACTCAAATATGCATTTTAAGCTTAATTTTCAGATGAAAAAACACATCGATACTCATCTGCTTCCTCTGTAATTTTTTTATTCTGAATTTCAAAAAGTCTATGTCCCAATTTTTGTTCCCTAATTTATTTATATTATCTTTCCAAGTCGCTAGAGATCATGGTTTTGTTGAATCTCTTTTTAACCAACAGTAAATAGAGTTTTAACCTGTTTTGTTGGCTTTTTGTTCCTCTATCAGTAGAAATGCATCAATGTAAGAAGTTAATTGTCTGTTTTAAGAAATATGAAAAATGCTTGGGTTCGACTTTCCACATTGTTAAACATTGAATTTCTTCTTAGTTACAAAAATGTTTTTGGTAATTCAAAAAAAATCTAATATTAAAGACCCCTACCGGTTACACCAGTTAGAGAGCTGTCATCCTCAATATTCAGTGAAATTCCCCAGGTTACACACCGGCTCATCAGGTTTAGAGGTATAAAACGTTTTTTTTTCTTTTTCAGTAGGTTTATATTGTGTAATTAACAATAAATATCCCAAAGGAAATCAAACCATGTGGATCTAAGTCTGATTGGAATTAGTCACAGACCTTCAGCAATTCCCCCTCCTTGATATCGCTACAAACAACACTTTTTTTCTACTAAATGATTTTCACTAAATAATACTGCTGGGATTTAATACATTTTTGTTTAGTTGGTTTATGAAATTGTTTGCTCATTATTATTATGATTAACCAGCAGCCTAGAGAATCCCATCTGACATACTGTAAAAACATCCTTCATATACGTTACATTTGAATCAGCTGAGCTCTACACTTAAAATGGCTTTTATTCCAAAATAAAGAAAAAAATCAAACTGACATGACGGAAACGTTCTAAAACATCAATATTGACTCTCTAACTTTGGGAACAGTATTCCTAGAGTTATGGTGTGTTCACTGACTGCAAAAGGCTCAGATTTTAGGGCTCTTAATGGACAAGCAGACCTTCAGTTGGTGACATATAAATATGCTAAACTCATTGAGAACCTTCAGTAGATTATCGTCTGGAGGTTGGATGTGTTAATCTGGTTTAATCTCTGTTTTTTCCACACCTGCTATTCCTCAGGAATGCTCTCCACTGTCCTTTCTCCCGCTTCCTTGGGCTAACACTTTACAGCTTCCACTGAGTTGCCTACTGGACTTAAGACAAGTGAAAAAAAGAGCTAAATCTCAAAGAGAGCTTGTGAAATACCTTCAAACAAACCTGCAGCAGTATTAATGAGAAGCGTTTTAGATTACAGCTGACAGATGTGACTCGTCCACCAGCCCCACTGGGATGGCGGTGCTCCGAAGCATTCCTCAGACGTTCCCTCATGCAGATCCACTTCTGCCAGGAATAAGTTTTATTTTTGGGGGTTTAGACAGAGGTGGAGGGATGTGAGGTCACCTCCTCCACCCCTCCCCCCTCCTGCAGATCCAGACCTAATGAACGCATGCTCTCTGAAAACCATAAACCACCAACACATACGTCATCTGGGCAGATGAGGTGCAGGGCCAGGACATTGCAGAGTAATGACTAACTGTAGGGTAGAGATGGTGGAGATGTGGTCCAATTAGCGCCAAGTTCAGAACCACAGAGTTTACTCCAGTGTTCTCGGTCTTGTTCAGCGTGTTTAGACACCGAACGGGGATCATGATGCAAGTCACAGCTTCCAGGGTGAAACTGATCGTTTGCCCCTTTTTAATAAAGGGACGGTTTAAAGTTCTGCAACCTGTGAAACCAAGAAAATAAAGACTGACTGGTGCGGTTTCAGACACAGATGCATCCTGCACAGCCTGGAGCGGTTAGCTGTTGTCGTTAAAACTGATCAAGATCGTTAGATAGCCTGGAAACAAAATGAAGAAATATGAAGAGAAAATAAGAGAAAATGAAAGTGCACTTTTCAAGCTGTTTTCATTTTGAAGATCCTTCCTTCCTTCCTTCCTTCCTTCCTTCCTTCCTTCCTTCCTTCCTTCCTTCCTTCCTTCCTTCCTTCCTTCCTTCCTTCCTTCCTTCCTTCCTTCCTTCCTTCCTTCCTTCCTTCCTTCC